TCATTTCTAAATTACACCTCCTTTTGGAATATATTTCATCAAAACATTACTGGACTCATAAAGAATCTCCCTGCTTATCCAACAGTTTGGTAACATTACTCCACCTACCATACCCAGTATCACAATTGAAGTCCTGCCCCATATTTGATATCCCATATGATGCAATCATTTTCCAACCAAATATCCACCTCGACCTTGGTATTGAGAAAGATTGCCCTATAGCAAATAGTAAAGTAAGTAGAGTCATAGATAATTTATGGAAAGGCTGGCTTATTATATACACTGATGCCTCCAAAAAGTCAGATGAAAGTTGTACTGGAGCAGCAGTTTGGATTCCCAGATTCAAAATAATTCTTAATTTTAAATGCCCTTCTATTTCTTCCACTTTTACTGGCGAGTCTATGAAGCTTTAATATATATAGAAGCACACAACTTAAATAAGTCAGTTATTCTTACCGACTCCAAAAGTTGTTTGTTAGCAATTTTGTCAAACCAATTCCAAAGTAAATATAAGATACCCTTGATCCTCAAAATTAAACACAGATTGTATAGATGTCATCTCAAGGGCATACAGGTTTCCTTAGCTTGGATTCCAGGTCATAGTGGCATCAAGGGCAATGAAACAGTTGATCTGATGGCTAAAAATGCCAGTCGAAATGGTTTGCCATGTAATTTAACTTACTCCTCAGACATAGTGTTACTTGCAAAGAAGAAGTTAAATAATAATTGGAATACATTATGGAAAGCCACTCAAAATATAAAAGGTAAACACTATGCTGCTATACAATGTGCCATCCTTCCAAAACCATGGTTTTTCAAATTCAATAAAGCTAATAAACATTCTACATCAACTATTTGTAGACTTAGAATTGGCCACGCTTGTAAACCAGTACATTTGGCCAAACTGAGGATTAGGGATAGTTCCCTCTGCGAATGTGGGTTGGATGAGGGAACCTCCGACCATATTTTTTTTAACTGTCCTAAATTATCTTGTTCACTCTATGATTATCTCCCTTCTGACATCCCTCGTCCTATAAATTTTGATTCACTTTTAACCTACACAAACACTCCTTATGTATATATTCTGTGTGATTTTATTAACACTAATGGTATAAAAGTTTAATGTTTGTCAATACTAACATACTAATGTAGTTATAGCAACCATGTTTGTCATTTGTTCTAGGTAATTCAACAGTACAACCATTAGTACTACAAGATAAAAGGGGAAAAAATTGGTTTAAAGGAAAAAAGATACTTGTACTATCACAATCTTCTCTTGTATATGGGCATAGTATTTGTAACTACTGAGCTTCTACTCAATAAACGCTTTCACGCTGACATTGGCGAATGATCAAAACCGCCATAAAAAAGAAAGAAGAAGAAGAAGTAAAGTACCATTTGGAGTCGACCTTGTTTCCATTGGCAGAATAGCCGAGCTAGATTAATCACTGAGCATATTTTGTTTCCAGGCACTGCAACCGAGGACGGATGCTAGTCAGGAATGGCCGCGTCATGAATTGATGGCGCCATAGTGCAACAAGCAGCGCCATCTAACAATTACTTTTGAGAACTAATATTTACCCACTCATGTCAGGGCGGACGAGCGGACGAATTGTTGTTTGTTACAGGAATGCATAAAGATACACGCCCGAGGACGGTCGTACGTCAGGATGGCCGTGTCGGAGTGTCTATAAAATACCCGGTTGGATCGAGGTAGAATGGAGGGTATATCGAGAAACCCCCTCTTGTGTCTGTAGTATAAAGTTCACTGTAGGTGCCGTGCGCGGGAGAGTCCGCTTCAGTCATTCAAGGAGTGTGGTCATTCTACTAGTGCTACGATAGTGTTGTGGTTCTGTTCGTTGTTGTAATTCCTCTAGTGCAGACAAGGAGGATTGGTGTTGCTGAGAGGCTGCCCTGTGTTACAATGAGATAAGTAGTGTTGCTGTTGCTGTACATATTTTGGTGTTATCATGTAATTACGTACCTCACGTTACACTGGTGTGTGATTGTGGCAGAGACGTGTTACGGTGTGGTCGAACTGTAATTTCACTATACTGAATGTATAGTGCGTTACGTTGTCTTATTACTGATAATGATTAAACTGCGTAAGCAAGAGAGCAAGTTGAACATCCGCTCTCACACTTTTATTATTTTTAACAGTTAACGCTATCCTGATGTATTTCCAAGATCACAAGTGGAATACTCTGTTGAATAATTCTCCGACATCAGAAGTGGGATCTCCTGTTGTCATTTCCGATATATATATAGGTGAGAAGAGATTTAAGTAGTCCAGTCTTGCTGATTCAGAGAGCTATACTTGTAGTTTCTTTGTATTATGAAATTCTTAAGGATATCCTCTTCCGTCCTGCCATTGCTAACTGCCGATTGCTAAATAATAACTTAAAAAAATGTTTGCCGTAACGATGCTTTCGATAAATGCAAGTCTCTACAGCCGAGATACCGAACAAAAATCTGACATATCTTCATTTTATGATGTTGTTACGCTAAGAAAAAACGTATTCATAGTGCGGTGTTTTCTTAAAAAAATATTGGCTGTTAAAAATCTCTTTGAATCACAGGGAAAATTGGTAGACATAATTTTATAAAAATAACTGCTTTTCTTTGAAAATTTTACAGAAACAGTAGAAACATTATTTTATAAAAAATATTTTCATAGCAACTTACAAGCAGCTTTTACCGTTTGTAAGAATTTAACTAAACTTGTTAAATATCAAAGGACATAAAAGTTTGACTCCTTGCAACACTGTATTAATGTCAAAATCAGTACAAAACAAAATTAAAGTTGACAATGTCTCAATGTTAATTTCTTGTTGATTGCAAAAATAATTAATTTTTAGTACGTATGATGTTCTTTTTGTATCATGTTCGTGATATATTCAATGGTCTTAAGGGGAACAGTTATGCAGGCGCAGGCCCGGTTTCGAGCTGCACGTAAGTACAACCTACAACACCTAATTTCGAATCTATCGTTGTACCTATATTGAATGCTTTGTTAAAAGACTATGTAATGTTTACATTTTGAAAATACTTCTATGTATTTTTCAGACGTAAACGCACACCACGCGTAACAAGGTGGCAGATTGAGCCACTTCTCTCGAAGTCAGCAGCTCGTCCATTTTTGTTTATAAGAAACTTTACCGGCCTGCAGGGCAAGAAGAATTTTAAAATGGGCTGGAAGAAAGTAGCCGACGACTTCAACCAGCTCCCCCTTTCAAAACGCCAGAGTAGTGGATTAAGAAAGTAGTGCTGCAAGTCTCTATTAAAGAATTTTCTAGATTTTCTTCTAATAGCTTATACATAAATCAGCTAGCACATCGTGCAGCACTAGTGTAACTAATATTTACTTGAATACATAATGATTTATTTTGTAGGTATGTAGAGACTAAAAGCCGGGGCTTACTAAAGCAACAAAGTTAAGGAAAGAAAGGATAAAGACTGGCATTCGAGGCATTACCACTGAACAACAGGTGTATGAAATAATAATGCAGTCACCAGCACCACAAATAAGTAAGTATGAGCTTTGTTATTCATTTAATGCCTACTTACATTATATTATTATTGATTCCGGTTCCGGTCGTCGATCAGTCAATACGCACGTCACAGAGCTCCGCGAAAAATAAAAAATAAACAGTGTAAAAAAGTGCCAACAAAGTGTGTCATACAAACTATTAACTACAACAAAGTACAAAATACGTGATCAGTGAAAAAATTACAGAAAAAGTGTTAAATTACGAGAACTAATCAACCGTAATTGTAATCATTCTAACCTAAAAAAAATACCGTCAAGTGTCAGCTGATGCAAATTGTACATAGACTATAGAGTGGAAACTACAGTACCAACATAACAAACAGCAAAACAAGAAAAAATACCAAAGATGGAAAAAAGTATGGAAATCCTACTGGCAAAATTAGACGAAAAATTAGACCAACAAACTAAACTTATAACAACTTCAGTAACACAAAATGTCATGGCAGCACTAGACGAAAAGCTTAAAGTGGTCACCGAAGAAAACGCCCAACTCAAAAATAAAAATAAGCGAGCTAGAGTTAAAACTCAAATTCGTTGATAAGCGCAAAAATAACCTTGTCTTTTTTGGCATCGAGGAAGGAAAAGCAACAACAGAACCAGAGCTAGTAGACTACGTAAAAGACATTATATTAGAAATGGGAGTACATTTTGAAGTCTTCGAAATTAATAATGTTTACAGAATCGGTAAAAAAGAGCTAGATAAAAATCGCCCTGTTGTAGTCTCACTCACAACTACATGGAAAAAACATATGATTCTGCGAAACAGATCTAATCTGCAAGAAGGTGTAAATATCAAAGAGGATTACCCTAAAGAAATAATAGAAAAACGTAAACAACTGCAGCTGCAAGTTGAAGAGGAAAAGAAAAAAGGAAATTTAGCCTTCATAAAATACGACAAACTGATAATAAGGAAAACACACGAAAGCAACAGAGAAAAAAGGAAAAGAGAGACTTCAAGATCACCGAAAATACCATCACAAAAGAAAGTCAATGCAGGTAGTACCGAAAGTACATTGACCACCTTAAACAACGCCCCCTCTAAAACTGCGACAAAGGATATCATCAGACCAAACAAACTGAATTATGTAGAGCGTGGGGGATCAGCTTCATTATCAAATCTCTCAAAAAACTAATAAGCGACACCCGGATCCAAACAACCCTAACAACCACATTACCAAACACAACACTCATAAATTGCACCCCAAGCCGGCTTGTCACCGTGGGGGAAGAAGACAAACACCCTCCATCTAAATCAAAACATTATATTTCGAAACACCCTAAAGCAAACATATTTAATAAGAAAACAATACAGATAGAACAAGGTAAAAAGATAACTGAACATATAAATGTCTGCACACTGAATACTCGGACATTAAGAACAGAAGAGAGCCTAAAAGAACTAGAAATAGCCATATCTAACATAAAATGGGACATAATTGGCATTAGCGAGATGAGAAGGCCAGGAGAAGGGATAGAAGAGAGGAACGACTATATCATGTTTCACAAAGGAGAACACACCGGACAAAAAGGAGTAGGTTTCCTTATCAAGTCTAAACTGAAGAAGAACATTATGGGATTTGAAGGAGTTTCTGACAGAATTGCTGTAGTTCATTTAAAATTTCCAGGGTACAAGAAAAACTGGGCTATCTTTCAAATATATGCCCCAACAGAAAAAGCGGGGAAATCAGAAATAGAATATTTCTATGAAAGTATCTCAGAAGCAATAAAACCGCATTACAACAACAATATAATAATCATGGGCGACTTTAACGCACAGGTTGGAGAAAGGCAAACTGGAGAAGAATCCTCAATCGGGAAGTTTGGGCATGGCAAAAGAAGCCAAAATGGACAGAAATTAGTAGAATTTATGATGGAAAATAACCTTATTTTAATGAACTCATGTTTTAACAAAAAAACTAAAAGCAAATGGACGTGGTCCTCCCCAGGCGCAAAATTCAAAACTAAATTGACTTTATTATAACGAACAAAGCAAGTGCGTTCACAGATACCAACATAGTTAAAAACCTCAACTTTAACACAGACCACCGTATGGTAAGAAGCTGCCTAAACATAAACCAACCCAAAATATCCAGGAAAAACCTAGTAAACAATAATAAGCTGTATCAAATATCAGAACGCAATCATTCCACTAATTCCCGCACAACAGAATCACTCAATGAAATTATTACCTCCGACGCAGAAACTGGGATTAAATACAGGAGGCTACAAAACAAATTGAAAGAGATGCTAGTCAGCAAACCCAGAAGCAAAGAAAGCTATTTAAGTAAAAAGACACTAGAACTATTAGACGAAAGAAGAACACTAATATCAAATAAAGAGGACAAAGAAAGACGCCAAAAAATTGCAACCCTTAGCAAGGAAATTAAGGAGAATATGAGGAAAGATCGAAAGGAAGAAAGAAATAGAGTTTTGGAAGAAAATATAAAAAGAACAGGAGGAACAAAAAAGGCTATGAAACAATTAAGCGAACATGGAAAAGAATGGATAACGAAACTAAAGCAACGCGAATCCTACTCAACTAATCGACTCTCAATACAGAAACTAGCTACGGACTATTACCGCCTATTGTACTCAGATAAATTCGATTCAGGGATGGCCACAATTCCGGAAGTAAAAGAAAACAAAGTAGATGAAGTGCCAGAAATACTTACATCAGAGGTAATCAAGGCAATAAAATCCCAAAAACTCGAGAAAGCCCAGGACCGGACAAGATACCTAATGAAATGCTCAAGGGATCCTTAGAGGAAATCAGTCAGTCCTCAGTTCTGGCAAAACTTTTCAATGAAATCTTACAAACAAGGTAAATTCCAGAAGAATGGACCGAGTGTCACATAATTCTACTACATAAAAAAGGTCATAGAGACGAGATTGGGAACTATAGGCAGATTTCTCTTATATCAAACATATATAAAATATTTGCTAAAGTGATCCTGGAAAGAATATCATTAACACTCAACGAAAACCAACCCGTAGAGCATGCAGGATTCAGAAAAGACTTCAGCACAATAGATCACATTCACACAATAAAACAGTTGATACAGAAGTATAACGAATACAATAAACAAATCTACTTGGCGTTTATAGATTACTCAAAGGCATTCGACAGCCTCAGGCACCAATACATATGGCGGAGCCTTGAACAACAAGGGGTCCAGAGCAACTATATAGAAATACTTAAGAGTATATACAAATCCAGCAAGGCCAGTATTAAACTAGAATCAACAGGAGAACCATTTCCTATCAAAAAGGGTGTACGCCAAGGCGATCCTCTCTCCCCTGCGCTATTTAACGCCGTACTCGAGCACATCTTTAGACAGCTAAACTGGGACCACTTAGGTCTGAACATTAATGGAGCTCGCCTAAACCATCTAAGATTTGCCGATGATCTGGTGCTTCTTGAAGAGAATCCAGCAGCAATAGAACAAATGATGCAGAGCCTAGCAAATACAAGTAGAGAAGTTGGTCTGGAAATCAATGCCAGTAAAACAAAATTAATGTCAAACTCAAGGGAAATAGACGTTATGGTAGATGGCAACAAGATCGAATATGTCAAAGAATATATTTACTTAGGACAGATAATATCTCCTTCAGATGAAATGACAAAGGAAATAAACAGGCGAATAGCCCAAGGATGGAGAAAATACTGGTCACTGAAGGAAATAGTGAAAAGCAAGGATCTAGGAAATGACATAAAAAAGAAAACATTTGAGACCTGTATTCTACCAGTTCTTACTTATGGCTGTGAAACTTGGTCAACAACACTTTACCATAGGGAAAGGCTAACAAAATGCCAACGTGCCATGGAAAGAAGCATGCTAGGGTTAAAAATCACAGAGTCAGGAACGACGACATTAGAACAAGAACAAAACTCACAGACATTCTTACTCGGATAGACGTCCAAAAATGGAGATGGGCTGGACATTTGCTACGCCACCCCATTAACAAATGGAGCAAGCAAGTCACTCTCTGGCAACCAAGAGACGGCAAAAGAGGCAGGGGTCGTCAAGTCAGGAGATGGGAAGACGACTTGAAACAGACAGCGGGACCATTCTGGTTGAGAGTAGCAAGGGACAGGAACCATTGGAAGGAATTGGAGGAGGCCTATGCCAAAAGGCACACCGAAGTTAGGGACCTCTTGTAACCCTATGTTTAGGAATAAAAGGCTATTATTAATAATGATTAAAAAACATTATATATTTCTGTGCTCTTCTGTTTTATCTACTATATCAGAGATGGGAAGTATCCTGTGTTAATCCAGGATATGCTCTATATATTATGTGCCAAAGGACAATGACAAAAATGGATCTACATATTTTAAAATTATCGAAGCAATGTATCTATGCAAATATTATATTAATTATAATTATAAGTTTATGTAAAAAATATTTGGACTAGAATACAGGAGTCACAAGAATTAAATTATTTAATTTATTAAAAAATAGGTTATCTTGCATTAGCAGAACATTATTTGCCAATTAATGTAGTGATTATATATACTTTGTTCACCAGAAATTTTTTGACATGACAGTCCTTATGTTTTTATTGTTATTGCTTTCCTCATTGTAACTAGTTTGTATTCAAAGTAAAAGTAGGTACCTTTTCTTCAATAATCGAAATTGTCCCACAGCTGGTCAACCTTTTACATCTCTCTTCTAGCAAGCAGTAATTAAGTAAAGACAACATAAATAATTATGTGTTTGATTACTAACAAAATATCATTGACTATGGAATAAACTTTAGTACTTCCATGTCACCTATATACATATAAAAGTACTTATTATAGGTACTTATATGTACTTTTCAATACAAATAATATTCAGATACAATTGAGCAATAACATATACCCATAATGGGTTTTTTTTATTTTTATTTATTTATTTATTTCTACCTCTGTCTTTACAGGCGTACCTAATACGACAGTGTAGGCACATAAACTATCTAATTTAACAAGGACAGAACACAACTTATCTACTATTATAACACAATATATATAATGTCACTTTTGTGAATTCACCCAAGGAACAGCGGAATAAATCTACATCCTGACCTACTTTATTTAGAGTGTGCAGCACTCGGGCCAGTGGGGCCTCCTTTAGAAGGTTGGTGCGTGCACGCGGTACCGCGAACAGCGGAGGCCGCTTCCGGCGCCACACATACCTATCCGGCACACACAACTTAGTCATTCGCAATATCGCCTCGTTATACACTTTTCCACGCAGCAATTTAAACATACGAGTATATGTTGCCAAACTTAACTCCCTCCTAACCTCCAGTTTGTTATACCCCACCATGCCTAGAACAAATAATGTTGGGTACATTAATGGGTAGAACGGATACACTCCATATAGTTTTAAGTAAAGAAATCGAATAAACTTATTTTGTATCCGTTCCACCATCAATTTGTATTTAGCTTCATGCGGGCTCCATATAAATCCATTACACTCTAGGTGACTTTTCACTAGTGCTTCATATAAGGCCCGGACCGCACAGAGATTTGTAAATTCCCGCGAGTGACGTAACACAAATCCTAAATTTCTATACGCCTTCTTGCAAATCTTAAGAATGTGTTCCCTAAAATTGAGTTTCGAAGTGAAGTGAACACCAAGGTCTTTTACTTCAGTTACGCGCTGCAAGGCTACTCCGTCTAAATTATATTTGTATGTGTGAGGCTGGCGTGAATGTGTGAAAGACATTACTAAGCATTTGGAAGTGTTAAAAAATAACTTATTCCTATGACTCCATTGTACTACTCTGTCAATGTCCGCCTGTAGTTTGTCACAGTCAGCCGAGTCCCTAACTATTGACACCAATTTTAGGTCATCCGCAAATAGAAGACATGTTGATTGCCATACAACATCGGGTAGATCATTAATCATTAGGACAAACTTCAGGGGGCCCAACTTACTACCTTGACTCACTCCTGACCTGGTAAGGTATGGTTTTGACAGTTGACCAGCCCAGTCTACAAATTGGCTCCTGTTTCTCATGTAGCTAGCGAAAAATGACAATGTTTTCGGTGTAAAACCCGCCTGCGCCAGTTTCATGAGTAGAATATCATTGTCGACCGTGTCAAACACCTTACGGAAGTCAAGGTATGCGACATCCACCTGTGCCCCCGAATCCACTGCTGGTACCACTTCTGACATCAGATGAAGCAGATTACTGCCGGTGCTACGTGCCGGGCGAAATCCATGTTGCGCGTCCGAAAGTTGAGCGCTTACCTGCATATATAGTGAGTGATGTAATGCTGACTCAAAAACCTTTGCCAGCGTACACAGAACTGCCACTGGTCTATAATCCGAAACTTTTGTACCACCACTGCCTTTTGGTACCGGTACCACCCTGGTTAACTTCCACCTATTAGGAAAAATTACACTGTTGAGACAGATATTAAATATATGGAGAAACGGGGCCTCGAATGCCTCACGACAGCCTCTAACAATATACGAAGGTATACCATCTGGACCTGTGGAGCATTTGGGCTTGAGTCTGGCCAGCGCGCGGCGCACGTCGGCAAGGCTCAGCTCGTTGAGGTGCACACGATGCGCGTAACCGCCACCCGGCGCGCAAGCCGCGCTTGCCGCTGCCGCCACGTCCAACACGGCAGGTTCCGAGTTATACACCGAGTGAAAATATGCCGCTAATTCATTTGCACATTCGCTCTCTGATAAGAAACGCCCATCCTTAATTAATTTATTTTTGTTAATACCACCTCGTTTATTTTTCACGAAAGTCCAAAACCCCTTTGGATCTTTCACAAAACTATTCTGCACTCGCTCCTGGTAAATACTATGAGCTTCATTAATTGCTTTTTTAACTCTCGCTCGACATTGCGAAAAAGCATGATAGTCATCGTTTGACCCACTGGTCTTATATTTTTTATGTAACTTGTATTTAAGTTGTATTTCGCGAATGACCTCCATTGAATACCATTGTGGGTAGCTATACCTACTGTTTGCT